TGCGCCAGATAAGATGTCCCCGCGTCCCCCAGCGCGGGGGGGGGGGGTGACGACGGGACAGACACACAGCGTGGCCGAGCTGGTTGTGCAGCCCTGGCACCCTTCACCAGGTTTTTTGGCACATCTCTCCGCACCCCCCCGGCTCGGGGTTGTTTTTCCTTCCCCTCCGGCGTCCGCATCCAGCCGTCCCCGCACCCCCCTCCCGCCGCTCCCGCCGCTTCCTCCGCCATCGCATCCATCTGCTCGCTGCCACCGCGGCCCCGCCGGTGTCCCAAACGCCCCCGGGGGTGTGACCGGAGGCCGGGGGGCTGCCCTGGCCCCGCCGCTGGAAAGTGTGAGCTCATGGGTGTGCCCGGACAATGCCGCCTTGTGCCGCGCTCGGGGCTCATCCCGTCCCACCGGCCCCCGGCTCTGCAGACCCCCGGGGGGACTGGGAGGTGCTGGGGGTGGGAGGGTTAAAAATCCTCTCCGGTGACGAATATGGGGGTCACTTGTGGCTGGGGGGGATGGAGCTGCCGGCAGGGCCTCCTCGTGCCGGGCTGGACCCTCCCTCGTGCCGGCAGCGGGAGGATGCTCCCAGATTTCTCAGACCTGCTCCTTCTCCATCTCTGCATCCCAAAAGGGGTGATTCGCCCGTCCTGGGGGCCGTGGGGCTGGGGGACAGCAGGGTTGTGGTCCCCAGAGGGGGTGACACCCCCCAGCCCAGGGTTGGGGTTCGAGGCTGGAGGGTTCCAGCACTGTTGTTGCCCTGCTCGCACGAGGCTTTTCCCAACTCCCTCCCCCCTCCGAGAGAAGAAATTTTGAGGAGAATGGGGAATTTTCCCCTTTGTGTGCGCGGCATTGTGGGTGTAAAGCACAGGGAGGGCCGAGGCCCCGGGGGGCTGTGGGGGGCTGAGCACAGCACGCCCGTCCCGCTCCCGCTGGAGCCTTCTCGAGGCCGCCGGACAAAAGGGCGTCATTCCCGCTGCTCCCGCTTGCCAGCACCGTCAGCAGCCGCCAGGCAGCCGGCACGGGCAGGGGACACACGGCCGGGCACTGGGGTCCGCAGGGACAGCGGCGGGGATGAGGTGGAGCTCCACCTTCCTGTGAGTCACCGCCACCTCTCCCGTCTCCCTTGCAGAGGGAATATCCGAGCCCCAGCCCGGTGTCGGCGTCCAGAGGGATGTGGAGCCACAGAGGCAGCGGTGAGTGCCCCGTGCCTGTCCCCCCTGCCTGGGGGACAGTGGCACCCCCTGGGAAGCCTGTCCTGCTGCCAGCACAGCGATATTTGGCAGGGGGGGACGTGCCAGCCTCGTGCCGCGTTAGGGTTTGGTGCCTGGGGGGCTGCCCCATGGCAGGAGGGTGGTGAGACGTGGGCACCTCGCCCCTGACCAACATGGGGGTGCTCTGTGCCCACCCTGGCTGTGCCCCCAGCCCTCTGCTGTCCCCACAGGACCCTGTGACTGACACAACCTCTCCTGCCCACAGCTGAATGGAAAGACTGCAGAAGGTAAGGGGGGCCGTGGGCAGGGTCCTGGGGGATGTGGGCAGGGTGCTGGGGGTCCAGAAAGGGTGCTGGGGGTCCAGGACAAGGTACTGGGGGTCCAGAAAGGGTGCTGGGGGTCCAGGACAGGGTGCTGGTGGTCCAGAAAGGATGTTGGGGGTCCAAGCAGGGACTAGGGGTCCAAGCAGGGCCTGGGAGTCCAAGACAGGGTGCTGGGGATGCAGGCAGGGTGCTGGGGACATACAGGCAGTGGCTAGTGGCCAAGGGCAGGGGCTGGTGGCCAAGGACATGTGGGAATGGGATGCCCTTAGCAGGGCTCTGCCTTCCTCCTCCTCCTCCTCCTCCCAGCCCAACCTGGCAGCACCATCTAGTGGCAGCGTGTCCTGGCCAAGCCACTGTCCCCAGAGGAGCAAAGGAGACCCCAGTGCCCCCCCCAGAAATCTCCAAGGAGTCTTTATCCCGGGGTACTGAGGTCCATGGGCACCGTGGTTGTCCCCCGGCCCCCCTGCCACGCCCCGGGCTCCCAAACACAACCCTGAGCTCCTTCCTGGGCCTAAAATGTCTCCTTTTCCTTCCAGCAGCCACTGACCTCCCCTGGGAGCGTCTGTTCTTCCCGTGGATCCAGCGTTCCTGGATCACCCTCCAGCATCGTGGTAAGAAGCCATTCCCACCTTCCCACCACATCCCTCCACCCTTGGGGACAGGAATGCACCTCCCCAAACCCCCTCCATCACCCTGGCAGGGCCACATTCCCGAATATCCTCTTTCCACGCTCCAAATGAAGGCGTTTTCCCTCCTTTCCAGGCCAAAATGGACAACGAGGTCCTGGGATACAAGGACCTGGCTGCCATCCCTAAGGACAAGGCGATCCTGGACATCGAGCGCCCCGACCTGATGATCTACGAACCCCATTTCACCTACTCTCTCATGGAGCACGTGGAGCTGCCCCGGAGCCGGGAGGTGAGGATGCCCCTGGGCCCCTGGCCTGTGTCCATGGGGTGTTTTTGGGGAAGGGGAGGGATCATGGCAGGGGGGAGGAATCCCAGCTGTGGGGCTGCCAGAATAAAGTGGAATAAAATGCTTCTTGCCTCCCTGCAGCGCTCCCTGTCTCCCAAATCCATCTCTCCCCCTCCGTCTCCAGAGGTGAGTAACACGCTTGGGGCTTGGGATGCAGGGGGTGGAATTCTGGGGAGGAGGAGGAGGAGGAGGAGGGGGCGATGCTGAATTCTGGGGAGGGGAGGTCTGGCTGATGGCTGCTCCTCCCTGTTTGCCCGCAGGTCATCCGGGAGTGGCTGGAGAGCCGGCAGCCCCCCACCAGCACCCCCGTGCCCGCCTCGCGCCAGGGCGGCTCCTCCACCCGCAGCAGCGTCCAGCACTTCCACCGACCCGGTACGACCCCCTGGCACCGGGACCCCACCCACAGAGGGCCCTCCTGGCGCTGCCAAACCCACCCTGGTGGTCCCTGAACACCCCTCGACCCCCCTCTTTGTCCTTCCAGAGACCGACACCACGGAGCTCAACATATACAAGAAGCCCCCGATCTACCGGCAGAAAGGTGAGTGTGGGGGTGTGTGGGGTCTGTCCTGTGGGTTGGGGCGCCCCAAAAGGCACTGCCTCACCCCCCCCTGCACCCTACAGACCACCATTCCAGTGCCCACCACGGGAAGCATCTCATTGAGGACTTGATCATCGAATCCTCCAAGTTCCCGGCGGCGCAGCCCCCCGACCCCAACCAGCCCGCCAAGATCGAGACCGACTACTGGCCGTGCCCCCCGTCCCTGGCCGTCGTGGGTAGGTGGGAATGGGGGAGTTTATCCCTCTCAGAAACCCCTGTGGGGTGCCAAGGGCTCTGACACCCCCCCCGTGCCCGCAGAGACGGAGTGGAGGAGGCGGATGGCCTCCAAGAGAGGGGAGGAGGAGGACGAGGACCTGACGGAGGAGATGAAGAACCTGCGGGAGCTCCAGAAGCAGGAGCTGAGCAAGGTGAGGGGCAGAGCGGGCAGGCAGCGCCTCGAGAGGGGCTGGGGGGGTGTTGATGTTGCTCCCAACGCGCGTTCCCTTCGTCCCCAGGTCACCTCCAACCTCGGGAAGCTGATCCTGAAGGAGGAGATGGAGAAATCTCTCCCGATCCGGAGAAAAACCCGCTCGCTGCCGGACCGGACGCCCTTCCACACGTGTACGTGGGGTGTTCCTCTCACAGCCCGGCCCTTCCCTGCCTCACCCGCTGGCTCTGGCTGCCTGTACCCCTGCCTGTACCTCCTGCATCCCTGCCTGTGCATCCCAATCCCTGCCTGCATCCCTGCCTGTATTTCACACATCCCTACCAGTTCCTGCATCCCTGCTTGCACCCCTGCCTGTACTTCCCAATCCCTATCTGCACCCCTGCCAGCTCCTGCACCCCTGCCTGTACCTCCTGCATCCCTGCCTGCACCCCTGCCAGCTCCCACATCCCTGCTCAAGCTTCCTACATCTCTGCCTGTACCTCCCACATCCCTGCCAGCTCCCACCTCCCTGCCTGCCCCTCCCACCTCCCTGCCTGCCCCTCCCACCTCCCTGCCTGCCCCCCTGACCATCTCTCCTCTCTTCCAGCCCTACACACGAGCTACAAGAGCTCCTCCCTGCCAGCCTCGGGCAGGAGCACCCTCACCCGGGTGAGTGGGTAGCAGCAGCCACCACCCCGCACTCCTGGGGTCATGCCCCACCCCGGACAGGCTCGGGGGTGGCCCTGCTCTGACCCTGTCCCCTGTCCCCTGTCCCCTGTCCCCTGTCCCCTGTCCCCTGTCCCCCTGCAGCTGCAGTCAGCAGAGTTCGGCTCGGCGGGGAGCGAGAAGGGCAGTCCAGGTGAGGATCAGCCCATGGAACGGGGCTGTTTTTTGGGAGAAGGGTTGTGGGGGAGTCCCAGGGGGTGTGGGAGAGTCCCAGGGGATGGGGGGATGTCCCAAGGATGTGGAGATGTCCTGGAAATGTTGGGGTGTCCCAGGGGATGTGGAGATGTCTGGGGGGATGTGGGAATGTCCTGGAGTTGTGGGGGTTTCCCGGGGGATGAGGGGGTGTCCCAGGGATGTGGGGATGTTCTGGAGTTGTGTGGGTTTCCCAGGGGATGTGGGGATGTCCTGGGAGATGTGGGGATGTCCCAGAGTTGTGGGGGTGTCTCAGGGGATGTGGGCATGTCCTGGAGATGCAGGGATGTCCTGGGAGGTACAAGGGTGCCCTGAGGGATGTGGGAATGTCCCAGAGATTCATGGATGTCCTGGAGATAAGGGGGTGCCCCAGGGGATGTGTGGACATCCCAGACATGGGGGGTTGTCC